TGTATCCAAAATCAATTCCCCCACACCAATGTCCAAGGTGTGGAACATGATTCAAAAGATTAAGGGCAAAGGATCAAAATCTGGACTTCGCTATCTCAAAGATGGTAATACACTTTTAACTACTAAGTCTGAAATTGCGAACACACTTAGTGACACTTTGGCATAACATTCCTCATCGTTAAACCATAATCCTCAATTTCAAAAGTTTCGAAAACAGCAGGAAATTTTTAAAATAAATTTTAACTCTGCTAATGGTGAGGACTATAATGAATCATTAACACTCCAATGATTACATACTGCCCTAATGCAAGCTCATGTCACTGCACCAGGAGCCGACACCGACCACTATCAGCTCATGAAAATTGCCCGATTCATGTTTGGAAATGTTACTTAATACACTCTTCAAAACAAAAGAAACGCATTGTTAAAAAATATGGATATTCAATAAGCGGATGTAAAATTATCTACACAAAATATGCGTGAACACAATCAAATGAAATTAGACACAGTGATCGACAAAAGCATTGTCGTCATTGTCAGCATTAATTCAGTTCAGTCATTGCACATGTGTAGCCACAAGGGGGCGTCATGCTCAGTACCTGGTCGCACCACCTCTTTTAGCCGTCACTGCTCGACACCTCTTTGGCACAGATTGCACAAGTCTTCGGATTTTTTCATGGGGAATTCTTCGCCATTCCTCCCGTAAGGCGTTGTCGAGTTGTGCCTGGTGACGTTGACGAACGAGTCGATCAAGTTCGTCCCAGAAATGTTCAATCGGGTTGAGATCAGGCGATTTGGACGGCCATGGAAGGACATTGATGTTCTCATTAAGAAGGAAATTGCACATGCTGTGTGGGGTCGAGTGTTGTCATGTTGGAACAGCTCCCTCTGGCGGTCCTAAGTTGGGAGGAGGTGAGGAGAATTTGGTCTATGTATCGGTTTGCTGTAAGATTGCCCTGAACAACCCCTAACTGTGATCTACCCGTGTAGGATATGGCTCCCCACACCTAATCAGTCCACCTGCCGAACGCAGTTCGGCGCAAAACGTTCATGTCGGCGTCAGTATACACATTATCTTCCATCCCGTCTTTGAAGAAGAAAACGTGATTCATCGCTGAACCAAACGCGTCGCCAGTTCCGGAGATCCCATGCCTGTACTCTGTTGCACCAACGGACACGTCGTTGACGGTGTAGACGTCGCAAGACAGATCCAACTTTAGGTCGAATTCCCACTTCCCTCAGACGATTTCTGATTGTTTGGTCGGAAATTCTTCGCATACCAGGCACTTGTCATGCAGTGTCCGTTGCTGTAGCAAATCGATTCCAAAGGTGATGCAACCGGATGTACCGATCCTGAGTAGGGGCGGTCACCCTTGGTCTTCAACTTCTGGGATGATCTTGAGTCGCATTTGTGTGGGTATATCGATCCCATAGTCGAGATTTGGTGCTTTGGTGGACGTTGAAGTGTCTTGCAACAGCAGACTGGGACTCCCCTGCTTCCAAACGTCCAATGGCGAAATTTCGGTCAGCTGCAGTTAATCTTGGCATTTTTCGATCTCCGTTCACGTCAGAAAATTCGTAATGAACTGATGATTTTTGTACGGTCTTTTATAGTGAGTGTCTCTACTCTTGTTTCCACGTGCATGGTGCTTAAATTGTTTTCTGAAAGCAATTTCCGTGCATCCTTTGCATTTTTGCTGATAAACGTTTACAAAAACATTTTGTTTGCGCGCAATGCACAACAAACATGACATGATTAACAGGAATCAAACATGAGAATTGTCTTTATGACGATTGCGGGGGAAAAAATCTGATCGGAATTCTCAAAACACCTATGCCTTTCTTTCTTTGAAGAGGGTATATTTGGTGAAATATTGACAACCAGAAATTTCCCTCCTTCATGGAACAATGCAATTATTATTCCTATTGCAAAGCATGGACGGGATCATACAGATCCATCCTATTACCGTCCGATATCATTAACTAGCTGTAAAACCATGGAACGCATGGTCAACATTCTATTAGTCTGGTACCTGAAGAACTTTAACCTACTGAGTGACACAGAAGTACCATTGAATCTTTGGTGCGTTTGGAATCATCCATTAAAAATTCATTGTCAACAAACAACGTTCTGTATCGATCTTTTTCGATCTAGAGAATATGAATAGCATCAAAATTAATTGTCTCGCTAAAGTATGAAGCAATAGCGTTGATTGTTCACTTTTTGTGGACTATTTCAACATTTCTTATCAAGGTAAGAATAAGAATACAAAAGAAGGACAGCTACAGCTCTGACACATTCGCGCCACACATCAAATGTCTGTAGTCAAAGTTCCTGAAGGATCTCGACTTGTTAAAAGTCGTTTCAAATTCCGAGTGGGGAGGGGATCAGACCACCATCCTTCACTTGTACAGACCATTAATATGCTCCAAACTAGACTATGGTGCCATTGTCTTTGGTAGAGCTTACAAAAGCAAGTTAGAAAAAAAAGATACAATACACCATCAAGGCCTAAGGTTCTGTCTTGGAGCTTTTAGGATCTCTCCCGTGGACAGTTTATATGTGGAGACTGATGAACCTTAACTCGCACAGCACCACATTAACTATTCACTGCAATACATTACTAAATTGCATTCAAATAAATCAAATCAAGCATACAATTGTGTTTTCAAGCCTCAATAGGAACACCTGATTCGAAATCTGTCCAACTTGATTCCACCCCTTGGAGTAAAAATTCCACCACATATCACTGCAGCTGAAATAGATCTAAATATCATAACACCTTACCGTCGTCTGTCTTCTCCCTGGCAGACGGTGAAGCCAGAAGCAGACCTTATCCTCACCCAGATCAAAAAGTCCGAAACAAAGCTTTTGGTTCATCAGCAATCATATAACCAATTACGAACAAAATACAATTCTCACAGAGCCATTTTTACAGGAGAGTCCAAGGATGGTGGCAAAGTTGCAAGTGCCACCATCATTGGATCCAGAACTGTCTCCCCAAGAATCCCAGGTAATAGTTCAATCTTCACTGCTGAGGCAGAAGCTATCTTCACAGCTTTGACCTATATTCAACAACAAAACCAATCAAAAACTTTCATCATCTTCTCCAATTCATTGCCATGCCTTCGCGCACTTAAAAGTGTGTCCTTAAATCATCCTGTTATACTAGACACTTTAGAACTATATAATGATAATTCTTCTGGCAAATGCGACGTCGTCTTTTGCTGGTTACCAAGTCATGTAGGCATAACCGATTACTCAAAGCCCTTGACAAAGTATTATCTCAAATACTTATCCCGTACGGTGATGTCAAACAAACCATCAAGAGTTATATACTCGGGATCTCATGCAAAAGAAGTGGGACACCAATGTAGGAAGCAAACCAACAATCGGTCATACCTACTTTGGTTGTCAGTCAAGACATGACGAGGTCGTTTTACAGTCGGTTCATCCACGAATATCTGCCCAAGACAGATGAGGACGAACCTCCTAAAAGTATCCCTTGTGATGAAAAGTTCACCGTCAAGTGTAAATCTGAAAGATCTCTTTTTCCGTGTCAGCGGGCATCTCATCTTGATTTACTTGAAAGAAATAGGTCTGTATTATACATTTTAAACATGTATGTGAATAATTAAACGCTTGCTTTTAAATTTATTGTGATGCTATTATCAACTTATATTACTCAATTCTCTGTGCAGGAGGTTGAAGTACAGTAACATTATTGCCCCCTTGTGTGACATGTAATCCTATCATTATCGATGTAACTATCATCAATCGTGTTTTTAAGACATCTGATTGCTGAGTATTTTTTAATATTGGCTTGTATTGTACACAACCACCAGTAGCTAAAGTGATGACGAAAATTCTTCTGGGGTGTCATGCAGGAAGTGAGGTGGTCTAGCTTTGGTAACTTGTGGCCTTAGCCCGCGTTTTAAAATTGTATACATGATATTGTTATGTTCAAATATGTTTCATAAATTGTCTGTCAATATGACGTTGCATAAATGACACAATTGTGAATGTTAACTTCGTCCCGTCGCTATATGGCTGCAATAATGCTGATGCGACGTTAAATTTGAACTCACTCACATTGCAACAATCACTGAAAGTAAGAATCTTGAATTCAGAGTACATTGATTTCAGTAATATTGGTTACAATGAATAGCAGGGGTGGTACGGAGGTGGTATTGAACTTTTTTAGCCAACGTTAGTCCAATTGAGGAATGGTCTACATGCTTCCTCGTTTATCTGGAAAGGATGCCTGAAAAACACCAAGATCTGATTTAGTATATGCATACCATTCAGATGGGCAGCACAACAACATGATGGGATGGGTTGGAGATCATGTGATCAGCATTTTGGAATGAGACAGGCACGTAATCCAAGCATTTCATGGGCAAGAATGTATCAAGTTAATTGGCACATGTTCATGAACACACACTCCAGGCAGAGTACGCAGACCAGATCACCCCAATCCATCCTACATGGCCGTTAGTTTCCAGAAATAGCAGAGAATATTAATATAGACGGGCCTTATGACGTCATATGAGCCTTGATGGCATACAAATCACCATATGCGAAAACACAACATGAACCCAATAATTCACTTAGTGAAAACATCTATGATCGACGTGATTCAGTAGCGGTAATATGAGCATATAACAACTATTCAAATGCATACCCTTGATATCCTCAAGTAGACATACCTTTCTAAGGCAGTAATTCAAACCTTGTAAATTTAGAAAGGTGTAGGTGTACAGCACCTGTTACAATCAAAATAAATGCATTGGAAATACTCCATGATCAAGTATTTACTGGGGTATCAACTTTTGACAATATTGACAAATATAGATACATTTTCATTGGTACAATGTGTGAAGCCCACTTCTGGTGTTGTAATATTGCTAAAATCACAATTACTCATTTAATAAACAGAATCATTAGTACAAAGATTATGTGTTTACTTACTGATCTTGTCAACATGTGTGTAATCCATGAACAGGTTTCAACAAATGGCTCTTTCAGATTACCATAATATTTTTAATGTATAATCAAGGGGAAGGTTAACAAAACAGGTACATACAAATTTCAATGGTTCATGAATTGCTAAGCTGAAACTTTCAGTTTGTCCCTTGCGATGAAGGTCTACAGACTACTCGAATTTAAAGTAGCTTCTTATGCGACAACAACCTCTGTTAGTGAAAGATATATGTAATGTATATCAATATAAATATTGAAGTCTACACACTGTACTTTAAATGGTTAGATCACTTTGATTATTTCAAGCAACAAATATTCACATGTTCTGAATGAGGCATGCTTTACGATAAGTGTAGACGTAAAGCTTTAGCTTGTCCATGCCATTTTCACTGCAGTGTGTATTTACAAACAAACGGATAGTTGTTGTTACACCTGACGTCATCCCAACCCTGGCTGCGGTGTGGGTTGTAACATACACAGTTACTTGTACGACTAGATAATGGTTCCCCTGGGTTCCAGTAGTTTGATGTCAAGGCCGAGCCATCTACCCAGACCCAGGCTTGTTCCGAGGCGATGTCATTCAATCCAATCCATACCACTGAAAGCCAAAGTAAACAGTGAATATTTGTGTAAACTACCGGGCAAAAGAAAGTTTTCACTTTAGAAATAGTTGTATAAAAAGCAAAAAAGCTGGTACAGGTTTGAACCCCCACAGAAAACATTCGCCCAAATGCAACATGACCACAACCACAACGCAGATTTTCGAACGCAGCTTTCCAAATCATGCATTGTTGAAAACGTGCAAAACGTGATTTTGAGACATTGGTCCAAATGCACGTGCATGATTGTGGCATAAATACCGACGTTGGACAGAGCAGGCATTCAGTCAGCAAAAAAACACCAAGAATATGCCCAGACTTACACAAGCGCAACGAGACAGAGCGATCGGTATGGCCAATATGGCGGCTACTCAACGTCAGATAGCCAGAACCTTCAACTGCTCCCAGACCACCATCAGCAAGTTGATAATCCGCTACCAACAGACAGGACAGACCGAGAGTGACAACACCGGCTGAAGACCGCTACATCCGGCAGATTCACCTCCGAAACAGATGTGTGACGGCGACGTCAACGGCGGCAACAGCACTAGGGCATGCCATCAGAGGACGAACAGTCCTTCGACGACTTCGTACGGCTGGTATATGAGCCTACCTATCCTTCCGTGGAAAGGCCTTGACCCGTCTACACCGTCAACGCAGACTGCAATGGCCACGAACTGTACGTCGGTGGCAGCGACGTGACTGGGCGAGAGTGCTCTTTACAGATGAAAGTCGGTTCTGTCTGTTCAGGAACGATGGCAGAGTTCGAGTTTTTCGATGAAGGGGAGGGCGACTGGCGCCAAACTGCATTGGAGAAGTTCATCTTGGATCTGGGATCATCTTGATCGTCAGCTGAGACAACATGTACCGCCTCCAGCGAACCGACAGGAACTTAAACAGACACTATTGAACTTATGGAACAGGATTCCTGTTGTCGTTATTCGCCGACAGACGACGTCAATGAGGAGGCATATGTTGGCGTGCATGGATGCCCAGGGTGGTCACACTCGCTATTGATGACGTGTTACCTGACTACTGTGTAATTACTGGACTCTTCATGCACTTTTTCAAAGAACTCTGATTTGTATAATTTTTAATTTGGACCCTTGACTCTTTCGTTGTGTATTGCGGAGAATGCAATATCGGCATTACAATGCATTTTCATTCTAATTCACGGAAAATGATTTCTGTTTATAAATTAATCATCATAAATCTCACATATGCCTTTGTTTTTTGTGTTTTGTCAAGTGAAGTCGGTGAAAACTTTCTTTTGCCCGGTAGTTTAGTTAACCTATGTCAAATTGTATGGGGGGCGGTCGGGTAGACTAGTGGTTAAAGCGTTCGCTCGTCACGCCGAAGACCCGGGTTCGATTCCCGACATGGGTACAATGTGTGATATTGCTGGAATATTGCTAAAAGCGGCGTAAAACCATACTCAGTCAGTCAGTCAGTCAGTCAAATTGTATGGGCGCACATGTTAGGTTTGTTTGTTTAACAACTGATTAAAGTTTCACTCAATGAAGTAATGAACGTGAAAACATACTCTATTTGAGTTAATCACCCCTTTTATTATCAGTGCCAAATGATCGGAAATATAAGCAAGGACAGTTCAAGCCTTTGCTACAGTAAACTACGTTTATAACGAATACCCTTATAACGAACTGACGGATATGACGAACTGTTTTTTTGGCCCCGACCAGGTGATGGATATATGCTGTATATGTACTTATAAAGAACTACGGTTATTATAGCTGGAATATTGCTGAGTGCGGCGTTGAAACAACAAACAAACAAAGCAAAACGAACAAAATTTAGAGGTCCCTTTTAGTTCGCTTTACCATAGTTTACTGTATTTATATTTTGCTACCTTTGAGGTACAATTGAGCATACTCTTTCTACAAAGATTTCAAAGATCGCCATAGGACTGTTCAGAAATTGTTTTATCAAGATTACATCATTCATGGCCTCAGTAAAGCTTTCAAACAGTTTTATGGTATGCATGTGTAGGACATTTCCAAAATTTGACGCATCGGTGAATTAAATGCAGTTCTCCTATTTTGACTTGTGTCATATATTCCTGTGTTCCTTTCAGGTGAACAACTTGGTATTGTACAGAGATTTCTGATGAATATAAAAAGGGTTTGTTACTTTTAATTATCAAGTAAACAGCCATGTTGGAGCTTAAACGCAAATTTATCCAATCGCGATATTTAGGTCTGGTTTATCACATCAATACAACTATCAGTTTAATGATAAAGGTATTTTTATAGATACACTGAGACTTACCTCCTGTAGATATTAACGATCTCATCAGGTCACGTGATCTGTCATCATGGATAGGAATCAAATTAGCACTGACAGACGTACATTCCTGTTGGGCAGCATTCCATTCTTTCTTTTCAGTGTAATACCTATAGCATTGGTCAGATATTCTTGAGAAGTCATATCCAGAGTCTGCTCTGCAACCACGGGCTGTATGGAACAAAACACTTTAGATAATATCATAACACGTTCGTCAACACAACTAAAAGTGAATAAAGCATCTGTTTTAGGAAAATTGCAATAGATTCGTAATTAAGATTTCGGAATAAAACGCCATCCTTGTTTTTGTTGAGCAAACAAAATTGTTTTGAAAAGCCAGATGGGTGCTGCTGGAAACGAGAAATATTGGTAGGAGCAATGATACATGTAATATACTTCTCATAAAAAAATAAGCATAAATTTGATTGAACTTCAAAATAATATGTTTTTAGCATTCTCAACTTAGACGTGATGTAAGGTTCTTGTGAAAGGACCTTTTGCAACACAGAATGTGGATAGAAAAGCAACGAGTTGTCAAATGACCAAACGAAACATTTTCCAGCTGTGAAACGACGCGTCAACCCGCAGAAAAGTTATGGGTATTGTACATTCCACTGCTACAAACGTCCCAACCCACTGTCTTTTGCATGTTTCGGTAGAAAACAGACAAAGAAGTGGGCGGAAGACTGCGTGAGGGATGAGGCATTGAGCGGTTGATGTGGGTTGGTGTCATATATGTATGTGTTGTCATTTCGACTGACATTAGTTGAAATATCAACCTCAAAAAGTATATTGAAACCCTAGTCCCGTGTATTTAAAATACTGACAATTCCCCATGTTAAAAATAATATTTGAATGGACGCAGAATGAGTTATAAAACATTTGCTTGAACTGTCCAGCATAGTCGCTTCACATTAATATGACAGAAAATCGCGAATCGCTAGTAGCTACAGTCACAAATTGAGTATACCCCAGCAGATGCGAGACATTTTGACTTCCGAAACACCGCTCAAAATCCAAAGTTTCTAATAGTCAATCCAAAAGCGTCTTCTTCACGTCATCATAGCCAAATAAAATACATCAAAGAACAAGAAATTATGGTGAGGTTCATTGATCCAATAAAACTTTCGACGAATATGAGCTTACACGTGCACTTGCACTATTGAATTATGTGATTGTTTCTTTGTTGTTAAATGCTGACCTCTCCCGCTCTATCACTATTGGACCATGGTGTTGGGGTCGTTTGTGATGAATATGTATGGCCTCTCGTTGATGTTGGAGCATTTTCAAATACACTCCCAAGGGAGGTTACAACAGTCGCTTAATGTGTAAAAGCATGACTAAGCTGTTTTATGATAGTAGTATGATTATCATGGTAGATTATCAGTTATAACAAGAATTTAGATTGAAACCCCCTCAAGTTGATTTATGCTGTTTTCTTAGAACAGATTTGTGTTATAAACATGACGTCAGAATACTATCAGGTTGTAAGGAAATGGTTATTCATCAGAAGCCTATGATTGCATAATTTGTTTGGGGTAAACAGTACCTGACTGCCATGTGCGTTTAACGCATGCGCAGACATACTGTATTAAAACAGGAATGTGAAAACAATTGTTCATCTTATTTATTGGATTCATTTTCTTCAGGTGAGGAATCAATGCATAGATACACAATCCCCTTATCCAACAAATCACATTGATCATGTTGTATGTTTTTATGTATACTGAGTCAAATTAAAAACTTCACAATGTCCAAAGAAGGATTTTAATTAACGGTGGTAACCATAATTTGTTCCAAGCACCTACGGTATTCGGTAATGACATCAACAGTTTAAATCATAAGTCCCAAGCACGAGAATCTGATGGCACACAAGTTCAGTAGTGTGTATGACCAATGTGCGTTGACAACTGCCACACAACGCCTCCGCATGGACCTTGTGATGCTTGTGAACACATGATTGGGAAGACGACGCCATTGTTGCTGCAAAATGGTGCCAAGATCTTGCAAATTCTGTGGTTGGTTCTGGAGAGTGCGCAAATTCTAATGTTCCAGTTTGAAATAGTTACTGTTGTTTTTTTAAATTGTACAAGCTCACTTGAAAGTCTGTCAAATATACCTTTCTTGTGTAGAATCAGTCTACACAGTTTGATGTTGTTAAGAATGTGCAGACGGACTAAAGCTTTGGTTATCGTTCCGTAGACATGAGAGCTAGTGACTTTGAGGCGACTGACGGCCAGGTCGACCGAGAGAAACTGGCAAACAGTTTGAACTACAACTGTTTGAATTTTGTATAAACAATAATAATAAGTCATTTTTTATTCATTGTGGTACTAATAAACATCAATCAAACTCTATATTTTTCATCAAAATTCATTACACTACTGAAATTGTCGAAAAATTAATGCCACTCAAACGAACTATTTCGCATTCACTGAATCTTAATGTTGAGTGCTGACTGTGTGATCAGGTAAAATTCCACGGATTCGATGCTGTTCACCAAGTATGAATATAATGAAATGCGACCCCGTCTCTGTTATAAGAATAAACTGTTTCTTGTCTTTTAAGCTTCTCATTTTAAAACGTGACGATGGGTAATAAAAACAATAAACTACTCGTGAAAAGGAATGACAAATTATCTGTCCCACATGAAATAAATGTTGAATGTGACTTAAAACCTTTATTTCACCTGGGACAGATAATCCGTCATTCCTCCGCACTCGAAAATTATTGTCATTTTAGGCCCCTGACCAGAAATAACATTACAGTTAGCGAAAAATAAAAACAGTTACACTTACCTTGATCAATAAGATAGTAGCCAATGCCTTCTGCTTCTTTCAGTTCCACTCGATGGTACACCCGGTCCTTGATGGTGTAGGAGAGGTAACAGTACCTGTCATGTTTGTTATAGAAGAAAGAGTTACATCTAAAGTCCTCCCAACACAGCCCCGCACATTGGACACGAGACACAGATGCGTTGATTGGGATGGCGTCAGAAACTATCATTCCAGTAAAGCCCACAATGTAGTTAACCGACACACATGGAAAACAAGACATCTTTCAGGATAACCTGTTCTTGTCGCCCTACTCTAAGAATGACAGACCTTTAGTTGACAGGAGAAAACATGCATATATTATTCAAAGCAGTATTAATTAAATCGATTTTTGTCAATGCTTCCGCAGATGTTATCCATGCAATTGGAGAATGAAACTGTATGCATTGGTGCGCCTTTACGTTCAAACGCCCATCTAGATAAATGAAATACTTAGCTTACAAGTGATTATATTTCAAACGGAATAAACTTTCAATTGTCAGTTATCAACAAGTATAAATGCTTTGCAAAGGCAACTACGTTATGAACTTGAAGTGCTTTTGATTAACTTGACTGTACAAAGTAGGAAGTTTTTAATTTTATTTTTCAACATAATCTCCCTGCTTTTCAATACACTACTCATATCCATAGTGAATCTTTTCATTTCAAGTCAAAGGGAAGTTTTCTGAAGCCACACTGAAAAACCTATTCACGGCAGCTTTGAGGTCATCGTTGTCGTCATAGCTCTTTCAACTAAGGTGTTCTTTCAGTTTAGGAAACAAGTGGAAATCACTTCGTGTTAGGTCTGGCGAGTATGGAGGGTGAGGAAGCTCTTTGAAACCACATTGGCGCACATTTGCCTTTGCAGGTCGAGAGGTGTGACAAGAGGCACTATCATGAAGTAGTAGAACTCCAGCAGTCAGTATTCCTCGCCTCTTTTCTTTGATAGAATATCAGCATAGTATACACCGGTAATCGTCTTTAGACAAGGATCACGGCCTTTACATATCAGAATACAGTGGCCATAACTGCCTTCACCGATCTTAAAGACTTTAATGTCTTTGGTGCCAGAGACGTAGAATGGTGCCATTCCATTGAATGTTTTGACTCAGGATCATAGCGGTAGACCCATGTTCCATTACCCGTTACTCATCTCTTTTCGAATTTTAACTAAATCCCCCTCAATTAGCTCTAAATTGTTTCTGGCAATGTCTGTACTTTTTTCCTTATTATCAGAATTTAGAAACTTTGGCACCCAAACAAGCAGGTATCGTATTCATCTGTAAGTGTTCAGGAATAATAGTTTCAGTGGATCCCTGACATGTGTCTTCCTCAAGTTCAGCAATGGTTATACGTCTATGTGACAGTATAAGGATTTCTATCTCCTTGATTGAATCTTCATTGATGAAAGATGTGAGACGTCCAGACCCAGGGGCATCATCAAGGCCTTATTCTACGAGCCTTAAACATAGCTGCCCAACGTTCAACGGGGAATAGCTAGGGCACTTATCCCCCCATACACCTGTGACCTGCCGTCATGAATTTCTTGGGGAGCACTTTTCTCTAAAGTAAACCACTTGTTGACTGCTTGGTACTCGTTCTTTTCCATTTCTGTGCCCATTTGGACCCCTATCACGTTCAACATTCTGTCACTAATATACAAACGGCATCAACAGACCAAATACACTGGCAATGAACTACTCAAACAATGAACTCCATTGACAAGTTCACTTTGTTGTGGCCCATAGTTGAAAGTTAGTCAGGCTAAGAACTTTTTGAACGGCCCTGAAACTGCCATTGAAACAATTTTCACAAAAAAAGAAATGTTCGTTGTTGCAGTAAGAAACAGTACGATACGCTCACCAAAAGTTAATTCATATGTTCGTTTCCACAATGTTGCAGCGTTAGCGTTACCGTTATAAGACATTCGATGGTGATGATGAGGTTCAGAAAACTACAACGAGAAACAAAACACTTCCTAAGTTTTCAACACAAACCTGAACAGTTTAAAGTATACCAATAATCTAATTCCAAGTTGCATAATAATAATCATTTAAATTAAATGTTTCATTTGTACATGTAGACAACAACATAAAGGTAAGGAAACAAAAACTCACATCTGTGTTCTGCCATAAACCACCCGTGAACCCTCTTGACAACATGGAGGCCTTCTGTCCTACCAACAACATGTGCTTGTGATCATGTGATCAGGAGCCAGGATGTAGATTAAATATAAAAACTGCAAGAATTTAGGCAGCTTGGTGGGCTTGAGCCCTGTACCTCAGTTGTAACACATGATTAAATTGTCATGCAAGTGATTTACTCATTAAACCAAAGACACTTGAGAACTTATGTTGATATTTTAAAATATTATACTTATGTTATACTTTTAATAATTCGAAACGTTAGACAAAGTGTTCTGCTCGTACACACTCGGCCTCTTAAACATAAATGTTTAACTAAACTTAGAATGAGCAGAACTGTAATATATCCTCACTCATTCACTTGTAGAGAGCAGTACCACACGTTTGTGAACTGGTCTACGGAATTCACCTTTCAGTGTTCTCAATAATACACTTCTCACAAGTCCTCTTTTGTTGAATTCGATCACTCGTCCCATTGGCTATGCTCAAATATGTTTCATGAATTGTTTCTAAATATAGTATGGTCAAATATGTTTTACAACTTGTTTTTAAACACAACTTTGCATTAATGACAAAATTGTAAAGATATTAACTTGGTCTCGTCGCTGAGATAATGCCGATGCGACGTTACATTTTAACTCACTCACTCACTCACTCACTCATAAAACTACCAAATGTTGTGGGATCCCCTTTAAACGTTGGCACCGTTGGTTGTGGCAAAAACATCGCTGTGACCATCTGTTTATGCGTTTGAAGTATTAATTCATTCTGTCGGTGTATAGAAGGAGATGTGAAAGGGGCAGACATGGTGGCTATCACAGGTGGCGCTATGTTTGAAGGATAAAAGTCTTTAACATTAGGGTTCAATTGCCGAGTTTGAATAACGCCTCGTTTGGATGGAATAACCCATTCTCGTGGTCGAACCTCAGGACCACCTGGACTATCAAGCTCGGATGGATGAACATCAGAGACAATGGGATACTCAGGCAACAAAGAGGCAACGAGAAATCCGTAAAGACATATGCACTGTTGGACAATGGTAGTACCGGTTGTTTCATCACAGAAGATCTCAGATATGAATTTAGAGCTAGATCTACCAATTCAATGCTGAAGCTGCGAACGATGCATGGTATAAGGACAGTAAGGACCTCGGCAGTGGAGGATCTCATCATCTCAGATATTACTGATAAAAATGCAGTGTAATTACCAAAACATCTGGATTAGGTATCTGACTGTGACCAACTGGTATCTTTTCCTTAGTAAACGTTCCTGGTAATAACACTGCATTTTTATCAGTAATATCTCAGATGATGATATTGTTCTGATCATGGATCATAGCTTACCAAGAGTGCACTGGCCAATGGGACGAGTGATCACAACCGAATCCGCCATAAGAGGACTTGTGAGAAGTGTATTATTGAGAACACTGAAAGGTGAATTACGTAGACCAGTTCACAAACTTGTGGTACTGCTCTCTACAAGTGAATGAATGAGAATATAATACAAACAGAGAATGTTACACAAGCAACTGATACCAGTATTTTGCAGTGTTATATTGTGTGAGTTCTGCTCATTCTAAGTTTAGTTAAACATTTATGTTTAAGAGGCCGAGTGTGTACGAGCAGAACACTTAGTCTAACGTTTCGAATTATTAAAGGTATAACATAAGTATAATATTTTAAAATATCAACATAAGTTATCAAGTGTCTTTGGTTTAATGAGTAAATCACTTGCACCGACAATTTAATCATGTGTTACAACTGAGGTACAGGGTTCAAGCCCAGCAAGCTGCCTAAATTTTTGCAGCTGGCTGAGGGAAATAGATTTCTCAGCAGGAGAAAATGAATCCATCATACCCCGACACGAAGAAACGGGGCAACATGTCCGTGAAGACCAGTGTGGAATAGGTCTTCAGCAACCCATCCTTGCGGTAAAAGCGTAAGAGGCGACTAACGGGATCGGGTGGTTAGTCTCGCTGACTTGGTTGACGCATGTCATCGTATCCCAATTGCGTAGATCGATGCTCATGATGTCAATCACTGCATTTTCTGGTCCAGACTCGATTATTTACAGACCGCCGTCATATAGCTGGAATATTGCTGAGTGCGGCGTTAACCAACAAACAAACATGTGGATTTCTGAACGGGATAATAAATCCCTTTTCCCTGCTTTGAAGCAAAAAGATTGTCTGGTCCAGACTCGATTATTTACAGACCGCCGTCATATAGCTGGAATATTGCTGAGTGTGTCGTTAAACAGCAAACAAACAAAAGAACAATCCAAGCAAAAGAAGACCTATGCTTTGTAAGCTAGAGGACCAGTGACAGTACAAAGATTGTTTGTTTCATTGTTTGTTCTCGGCATAATGTTCGACATATAGGGAAAGTTGTCATACAGTCATATGGAGAGTGTTTTGTCACTCTAAATCTAAATATGAAACATTTCTAGTTCAGGTGGGTAAATCAGTGGGAATTGGCTACTTGATGGTTATTGAACGGTATCAAATTATCAATCTACCTGAAGCTGAAGTTAAACTTCTTGGACAAATAACCTTGTTTTGGCTTTGACAATCCGAGCAGAAATTCCGATTCATAAGCGTAAAGAAACAGAAATAGTAACGGTAACATTCTCGTACCCAATAGTAAGGTAAATGTTGAAGCAATCCCTCTTGTTATACAGTATTGTGGATTGTGTTTTGTTACTCTGAATCCTTATTCATACATTAAATATTGATTAGAGCACTGTCACGCGTTGTCTGTCAATATGAAAGCACAGTCAACAATAAATTAACCATGAAAGTGTGCAAAGAGAACAGTCCGACCAATCGCCGCTTTTCCTTTTTCCCATGACACCTTTGCTTCTGTGTAAATATTGATGTGCTTGAGTGGCACCCTTGTTAGGAACTCAGAAGATGGAGTTCAAAGGCGAATGAAATATTCATGTTGTATATCTCAATGCATGATACTTAACTGTGGATGTATGATAAAAATCGTAGATTGTAAAATGATCTTTAGATATCGCTTTATCTACTGAAATTGGCTAAGCGTTAAGTCACATTTCCTGTCCCTTTGTTCAATAAGGTTCGCTTCTACATACCCTTTCGTTTTGATCCGTGGGAAGCTTACCAGAAGATC